AAAGAGTAGTTCGGTACCTTTTACCTCGTACAAGCTTTGAGCTCTCAGCCCAGAGGGGCCATATTTTTCTAATTCACAACAAGAACAATGTACAGGCAAGCCCAAGCTCTGGATATTGCAACCTAGGAGAGAGGCCTGCTGGCTTCTCAAGGATATCAGCTAAAAGGGGCATGCAGACAAGCCCTGGATCAGATGCTCTGGGTGTCAAGGAAATAGCAGCATCCTGAGGGTCAGGATAGCTGGCATCTCTTCCTGTCAGTACCATGACTCACTGTGAGACCCTGATTAAGCACCTGCCAGGCCAAACACTCAATTTCTCTGTTTGCTGTGTTCTCTTCTCTTCCCATGGCTTATTCCTTTTAGCTTCAGATTTTGGCTAAAATGTTTCTCTTTTTGGTGAAAACTGTGGCCCTCTAATCCAACACAGATCCCTGTGTTATGACCTTTTATACATTCTGTGATCTTTTTTCTTAGCACTTCAATATTATTTTTTGTTTGATTATTTAATGTCTCTTTTCTCAAGATGGAAAGATTCTGTTCTGTGTTGTTCACAGAGACAGCACTGGGTTTTAGGACACTGCCTTACACACAGATATACACTGAATATCCAACAAATATGCACTGAATTGTTAAATTAATGAATAATTTTGGGAAGAGAAACCTGGACTCATGTAATAGTTCTATCAGTTATTATCCGTGTGACTCTGGAAAATGATTGATACATCTCTTCGTCTCAGTTTCCTCATCTGTAAAATTAAGACATATAATTTCCTGCCTACTTACCTGCACTGTTTTAAGGATATAGGAGGTCATAGATAAAAATGCCTGATAAATTGTAAAGAATGTATTCTATATTAATAGAAGCTGTCTCTTATCATCCACTGGCATAAACAAATAAATTTGACTTTAAGTAGAGGAGAAACTAAGATTATGAGAGATGGTTTTACTCAGCTGAGGAGAGAAGAGTGAGGATTGTCTTCCAAAAGGCCATTCTATTTGATGAGAAGATGTGAGAACAAAAGGAGTATGGAATGCTTTATCTCCTGTGGACATTTCCATGCATAACTGCAAGTCATCAGAGTTCTTAGGGTAGGAAAGATTTACAGTTTGGGTTGGAAAACTCATAGAGAAATTTTGATGTGTGTGTTAGTGGTTAAAAGCATGGACTTTGGGTTCAGACAGAACTAGGTTTGAGTTTCAGAACTGCCACTTACAAGTTGTGTGATCATGTGACCTTAGAAATATTTCCTGATTTCTTTATGCCTTAGATCCAATGCATATAAAATAGGAATAATAATATCTCTCACAGTTGTTATGAAGATTGGTTTAGAAAATAACATGCAAACAGCACAGTGCCTTGTACATGTTAAGTGAAAAATAAATGGTAGACTTGTCATCCTATCCTATCCTATCTTATCCTATCCTATCCTATCCTAGCCTAGCCTATCCTATCCTATCCTATCCTGCTCTACCTTAGGTTGTCACAGAGGAGGGAGTGACAGTTGTCCATGCAAACAGTATTAGGGCTAATGATGATGATGATGATGATGATGATGATGATGATAATAATGATAATAGGCTAATGATAATAGGCTAATAGGCTAAGGTACCAAACTAGAGGCAACATATCAACAAAGCTGTTGGGAGGCTGCCATTATTATCCTAATTTTATATAAGGAAATTCAAGCTTGGAGAAGTAAAGTAACTTGCCCAGGGTTACAAATCTTGTATGACCCAGAGCAAAGGACCCAGTTTAAGGACATGTGACTTCAAAGTTTGTGCTCTTAACTACTATATTACGTTGTGCTGATATGTGCTCAGTGCAGCTACTGGCAAAAAGCCTGGAGCCCTGCAGCCGTTGTCCTGTTTTTTCACAGATTCATTTGTGTCTCCTCTGTTTTTGCCATTAGTCCCTAGATTTCCCATTGACTTCTCAATGAAGGTCTGGCCCACATCATTCATGTCTTGTATTAGCTCAGTTTGAGGTATCAGAAGTGCAGGGTACGCATACCTTGGCAGAAAGTAAACTGGAATAAAATACAAGATGTTCAATTAAATTTGAATTTTAGATAAACAGTAATTATTTTAGAATAAGTATGTCCCAAATATTTTACAGGACATACTAAAAAAATATTTGTTGTTTAGCTGAAATTGAAATTTACTTTTATTTGCTGAATCTGGCATTCGTACCTGTAGAGATCCTCGTGAGTGTTTTCTTACATTAAACCTCAGATCAAGAGTGAAGGTCAGGATTAAGAAGGTCAAATCAATGCTTAGAAGTACTTATGTGAAAAGTTAAAATCATGTACGGAAAATAGAAGTTATTGAAGGGCTCCAGTTCATCTATAATATCACATCTGGAACATGTTTTCCCCGTATATTCCTCATAAGAAAATCATTAGCCTTTTTCTTGTTCTTGGTTCACTCCAGCTAAATTTTCATGCCAGCACTGGAAGGAATGCACGTGGCTTCAGGTAGGCCTCCCATTCCCGTGGTGTCAATATACTGAGGAATGTCCACAGTCTTTGTCACTCAGTCACCTTTCTACACATAGCTTATAACTTAGTCAATTCTCATGACACCAATCAATTTGTTAATTTCTTATTCAATGGACATTTACTGAGCTTGCACTATTTGCCAGGTGCTCTGCTAGACACTGGAAACAAGAAAATACAAAACACCAGTCCCTGACCTCACGTTTTGCTGAGGATACAAACATGTAATCAAATAATTGCAATTGAAATATGAGAACTGCTAATGGAGTAAGGAACAGATTATCAGGGAGTGGTTAACATTGCCTGGGAGGCAACCATGAAGGTATCATTTGTTCAGGGCCTTGAAAATGGGTTAGCAGGTGTTCACTATGCCAGCAAGCTATGGAGAAGACACTTTAGGTAGGAAGAATGACATCTGCAAAGGCACAGAGGCATGGAAGAGCATAGCGTATTTCTAGGAATGAACCCTCAAATTTTTCGGTGTTGATATTAGAAGTAAAAATTAAAGTGAGCTAACTGAATCTTGAAATGTGTTTTCATTAATGAACATGCCAGGAAGAGATAATGGAGGAGAGAGAGAGAGAGAGAGAGAGAGAGAGAGAGAGAGAGAGAGAGAGAGAGAGAGAAGAGGAAGCAGAGCACTGAAAGGTGGGTGAGTGAGGGGGTGAGTAAGAAATCACAAATCATGAAGTACTACAGTCCATAGCTAGTTTTCCCTCTGTTATTTCCCTATGATAGTCTCAGCTGAGCAGTTGCCATCCATCCAGTTACCTGAGTTAGAAATATGAATTTTCTTTAACTCTTTTTTTTAACCACAAAATTCATTTGCTCACTAAGTCCTATTAATTCTCCTCTTAATTTATGAAATTCTCTTTATTTTGACACTAAGTATCATAGTTCAGGACTTTGTCTTGACTATTCTAATAGTGATCTTGTCCTCCTG